CTTCCAAAATTCCTGAGCATTCACCATGCTGGAAGCAGAGCTCCAAGCATCTGAAGCTTTACTATTGCACTGCACCGATGCAGTCACACAATACATCACATGGATTTTCACATGCACTCATAGGGTCACTCTCATCTACAAAGTGCCCCCCTCACACAAACAGATGCGTGATAAAATGGATTAAAAGCACCTTCCCTTCATTCCCTCTTTTCCTACATGACCTGTCCTTCAACGGGGGCCTGAAAGATAATGCAGCTAGGATGAGCAGCCCAAAATGCCCACCTGGAGCTATTTACTGCACAGCTGTTAGTAAGAGCTGCTGGTACATACTGACTCCAGTATGATAGGACTAAAGATTTTTTCATTCAATCCCTTAAATGCATGATAAATAGAATCTCTCTAGGCATTGCACAGGGTTAGGGTTTTAAAATGGCATAATCTACCGGTAGTTAAAAATAGCACGCTTTGAAAAAAATCAACAATATAAATATATCAGTATAATACCATCAAATATACCACAGACTATAAAAAAGCAGAAGCACTCAAGAGATACAGGAATTAAAACCCAACCACAAAGAGAAACACGAGAAACTAAAAATGGCAGGGTGGGACAGGACAGAGAAGTGAAAATTCTGAGAGGAGAAAAGTCTTGGCCTAGCACTAAATCACAGCAATGTTGGTGCTGGATCCACTTCCTGATGGAGAGCATTCAAGCTGGGGCAGGGGGACGGGAAAGCACCACCAAGAAACCCTGTGCTTTCATGACCACTTTCCAAAACTCTGACTGAAGCAGCACACAGAGAAGGGCTTGCAAAGATGGCCCAAGCACATGGTGACCTACAAGTGGAAGGACCCGAGATCACACCGAGTGGCGCTTCCTAAGCTCAGCATGACCACAAACTGGAAGGCAGTGAAGTGAGAAGGGCCAACACAAAATGTTCATAATGACTTTGACTGGTATTTGTAGACGTTACCCTCATATTGGGATCCTCCAGCACATGCCAGCCATTTTCAGCCACATCCCCGTGGCCAAGTCAAATATTTCAGCATTTAAGCTTCTACCACACGCTTGGTATTTTCTATGTCTCTTTGGTTCCTTCTGTTCCAGGCCTCCCTCGTGCAAGATAACAAAAAAGGAGAATCTAAAGGTATACAGAAGATTAACTATTAAAACTTCCTCAGAGGCCACTGTGAGGGTGAAGAAACCAGATGTTAGTTTTATTGTGTGGTTAGCAACCACATCTGGGGTTTAAAAAACTGTAATACCAAGAGTATGGAGAAGGCACTTTTCATTAGGAGCACAGTATAGGTCAGGAAAAGTTTAAGCAATCCCAACAAAAATCCCCCTCCCTTGGTGTGGAATTAAACTTAGGGGGAAAATCCCCTTGGTGCCAATGAGAGTTTTTTTCTTTTCTTTTCTTTTTTAATTAAGGGGGAGATTGTAGTAAGCGGCCTATGTGTGAAGGAAAGTATTGTGTGTCTCCTCTCCACAAGCTGTGGTTCCAAGGCAGTTCCTGCACCCCAGCCACACGCTTCTAGTTGTCGTGTGCGTATGTGTGTGTGCATGCGCATGCACGCTTTAAACTGTACGGGGTTGCCACCCATGCAACAAAAGTTATGCCTGGTGTGATCCTTACTTCATTACTTCCAAACTGAACTTGCCTTGCCCGCCACCTCCAAATAAGCCCCCCCCATGTGTCCCCCCCCCCCCCCCATGCAGCCTCCCAGGGAAGGCAACATGGTGGGCAGCCTGCCCATGGCCAATGGCCATCCTTCTCAGCCCACTTTTCGTTGTGGTAGCAACGTTTTTCCTGACTGCAACTGGAATTGCTTGCAAGCACAATGAGGACCTCCAGCAATTGCCGCCTTCATTGCCCAAGTCTTCCTCTGGGCCACGTGCATGATGGATGCTCAGCCTGTCTGACTGAGGCTGGAAGGGGCAGAAAGGGAGTTTGCCTTCTGGGGAATAAGTGCTGAAGCTGCAGGTTCAGAGGAGTTAAGTGTGTTGGGGTTCTGAAATGTCTGTTTTGTATTCAATGTTTTGGGCACCTTACTTCTCTTCTGTGACTGACTACACCTCCCATTTTCTGGTTTTACACAAGAGGGTTTCTTAAAGTGCCAAATGTGCAAACAGACCCCCTCCCCCCCCAAAAAAGGTTGCCGACCCCTGTTGTGATCTGTGTAAAGGCAGAATATCTAAACAAGGCCATGCCTTCTTATGATGAGGAGGATACAAAACTGAATGAAATGCTGAGAAGCTGTGGACTTGTTTAGCATTAATAATCTGTGGTTGTTAGTGACAAGATATCCCTTACATATATGAACAAATACATTTCAGGATTTAACTACAGAGATGTCATGTCAGTCATTTTTTGTATCAGAGAAACAATTGCAACAAGAAGTTCCATTTTTTATTCTGTCTCAATGCCTGTCCCTTACTAAATATGGCTATACGCAAGAACGAGAAGGTAAACTGATCCAGTATTTGTCAAAGCTTAATACATAGGCTTAGAAATCAATCATGTTTATTTAGCTTTCCTTTGATATGCCTCTTGCTTTCCAATATTTCTGCTGTCACATTTTCTCACTTCAACTGGCAAGCGTGAGAGGTAGAACTTTCATTTAATGAAGGTTCACATTCTCAGCTTCCTGATAGTCTATGCAAGAACAGTTCAAAATGCTTTCAAGAGGCTTAAATAGTCTCCAAGTAGTTTTGGTCAGGTCAATCTGTACTCCTGTCTTCAGAGTGCAGGATCAGGACCCATATTCCTGAAGCAGTCAAGGTAGTGCAATTCTTTAAAAGTGGCATATTAAGGTAGCATTTAATGATCACCACATCCTTCTTATAATCAAAACAGAAGAGTTTTCACTTCTCATTCATTTTTAAAGGACTATTCAAACAGCCTTTTATCTCCACTAAACAGCCTGCCATGTATTTGAAGACATTTTATTTTTTGTTTCTACAGACATCCAGGGGGGAAAAAAGAGAGGAAAGAAAAAGAAAAGAAGAAGAAAAGAGAGAGGCAAGTATTTTGGAACACTGATATATAAAGATGCAAAGGCTTATATGGCAGTGAATGACTTCAAACTGACTCAGACACATTCATCTTCCCAAGAAGAATTAGACTCAGTGTGATTCATTTTAATAGCAGAAGAAAAAAAATACTACTGTGCAGTGCTAAGTTCCTAACCTTTGATGGTAGAATAGGGAGGAAAAAAATAACTTTCTTCCCCCATGTTGTTGAAGTCCGCTCTGCCTACCCATCTGTTATGTCCGGCTCATCAATTAAGGTGAACCCATGAACTTGAGAAGGTGTTTAATAAAGACGGCAATCCATTTAAATGTGGGAAACCGCCTGCAGCTTTATTTTAACCGAGAATTCAGTTCTTAGCCCTGTGTACTCGGCATGAGATTTTTCTCGTGTGTTAGGAACGAAGTCTTCTCTTGCATGCAAAATAATTCCAGATGCAGTGTTACTACCTGGATGAAAGTAGAAATGGGGAGAGGGACGAGGAAGGAAGCAAAAGATGCCACTTCTGGATCACACAAAAGAAGCATCCATTTCTGACAAAACGCTCTAAAAGGGCATGGGATAGAGGTCTTAGGTGAGCCATCACAAGTACATGGGCACATCCTTCTCTGAACATCAGTGATCAGACATTTTCACTCAGGTCAGATCTGTATACAAGTGACTATCAACAAATTACAATTATGGCATCACAGGGCAGGAAAAAGAGCAGATGCAGTAACTGAATGCTGGCTTTTCCACGTGCAGAAACAATGGCTGGTGGCACTCACAAGTGTATCTACTTAGCTTATAGCCAAGTGATCCTGCTAGCAAAAGCCCTCTGCACTGAATGTGGGCAATGACTTTAGCAGCACTAGGCAAGAATGTGAAGGAGGAAGGTACCCCAGGCTATTCTTCTCTGGATTTTACCACGATACTCCTTGATTTCAAAAATCAAATGTTGCTCAACTGGGATTTGTAAGCTTCTTTTTAATCTTTTTACTGAAAAGCAACACCTGTTTACTATACCTTTGTGAACATGTTGTAGTCACAAGGATTCACCACAACATAGATATGATTAAGCAAATGATGCACAATCTACCATTTTTCTTCCAATATCACCTCAAATCTCACCCAGAAGGCATCTCATAAAATATAATGGTTCTGATTAAATTCAGTCTAAACTTAAGGTCCACCTGTTTTTTTGTGTGACAGAAATATACATGTATATCTGACATGTACATTTCAGTACTTAATTTGTTGTGGCTCAAGAACAGTTTCCTTTGTCCCAATAGTTCTTTTATCAGATTCTAGAGATATAGAAAATGACAAAGGATACTCTCAGCTAGATATTAGCTGATGCAAGTCGAATAATATAACACAGCTCGCAGTCGGAAAATAGTACCTTGCATATGCTCAGAGATACTTTCCACTGCTTGAAGACAAAATGAAACATATTCTCCACTAATGGCATTGAGTCACATAAGAATTGGAACATGGAGGAGATATGCAACCATATTAATATCCCATAGTACATATTCTGGGACTGCATCTTGGTACGCAAAGTGAGACCTCTGGTTGTGAAACTACCTGGACTTTTCCTGGGACTATCAAACATAAATGTTTAAATTTACAAAATTGTCTGCTTTCATGGTCTGAGATTCAGTTACTTTAAGACTATTTTAGGTGCATCCCTTTATTTATACCCAAGTAACTATGCCAAAACTTGTACCTGGCCACTTTATCTCCAACCCTACCACACAATAAGTTTGCTTTTTAAATGGAGATCCTAATAAGTTTATCTGGAACTCAGGATGTGTGTGGATACCTGCTCAAATATGCAAAATAACTCTTAGATTAAAAACAAGAACAAAAAAGTTAATTATATTAATTTGAAAAATATAAAAATTTTAATAAAGGCTACATCTCTTAATTACAATAATTATTGTACCAAGTATTTTTTCTTTAAATGAAACTCTTTATAATGCATAATTTACAGTATAAGTAGAACAAATGTCATGGCAAAAGTCATAAAGTACAAGACTGTAGTAAAAAGGCATAAAATATATTATACATAAACCCCTTAAATAAACAAGGGAGCTTTTGGACCCTGAACACAGGGCGAAACATGGCATAGTAACACCATGTAGGCACAGGTACTGTACTGATTGAAGTGTTTTTTTTAAAAACACACACTAGAGATAGTGTATTAATAGCATTTTTTCCACCACATTTTTCTCTATATACAGTCATATTATACAAAAGCAATGTAACATTGACATACAATGCACCAATTAAAAAAGTAGAAATCCTATGTCTTTCCAGGGTGGGTAGGCATGTTGTTTTCTCCTCATACACACAAACATGATATAATCCAATTAGACAATGTGTGTGATCATTTTACAGCACAACCAAGCATTTTCCTGTTTCCAGCCATAACCTAGTCAGGGAAGGTTTAGAGTGTGGTAGCTTGAGGAGCAGAAGCCCACACTGCTCCAGTTGCGGTTCAGCAGCGTCACTGCTGCTCAGCAAAAGAGCTAAAATGGCTTACTTGCCCGAAGGCAGACTGTGACGTTATCACACAGTGACTTCTTCGGTAGCCTGGCAGCTTTTTCTTTCTCAGAACCACCAATGAAAATGCATTGAAAATGATATTCTGGCCTTGCTGTAGCTCTTGAGGGAAGTCAGAACATCACTTAAAAAGTTGGAGCCAGGACATCACCACTGCACCAACAGGGCACTTCCATTAATTCCAGTGACTATTAAACTAAGATGGGGCACCAAATATTTGAACAATTTGGCCTATTTACTCTAACTGCAATACAAAATTTGCCACTATTGCAGAAGTGGCTACACTGTTTTTTAAAAGAACAGTCAATTCAGAGAAGAAGAAACCATTTAAAAATTCTGACTATATGTTTATCAATATGAACCAGATAGTTTTATGTACCGTTTTTCCTCCTATGCTTGGCATAGGCATCTATCAGGAAACAGGATTAGACTATATGATCCATTAGGTACCTGTAAATTATTTATTTCTGTGCTTGGGACTAGCTACCAGCTGTCTTTCTAAAGACAGGCACTGGAAACAATACATAATGCAATCTTGAGGGGAGGCGGGAAGTACAGCAGGGGTATATACTTACCACAGAAACGGACTTACAAGCCCTCTACTAGCGTATTACCCCTCGCAGCCATTTTCTTTAACCCTCGAAAGGTCAGGTGCATTCACAACATTCCCCGTCTCTTGTTCATGGGCAGGGGATCGGGAATGCCCGTGTGTGCCATCCTCCTGTGCAGACTTTCCCCTCCCCTCCCCTGCCTTGCTGCAGCTAGCCAAGAGTTAGCTTCAACTAACAGAAACCACAATTCAAGTCAGTATTTGCAACCAAGATTAGAAGCAGACTGCCAGCTCTGTTAAAGCGAACCACAGTTCGTATTAACATCAGTGCAGACATAACTCTGCATGATGGCCAAGTCCGAAAGGGAAAGGGAGGAGGGCAGCAGAAGAGTTGTAAATATCTGCTGGGTGCTCCCAATCTCCTGGTGTTAGGCAATCAAGACTGTTACGTCTGCATTGGGCCTTTAAAGCACAACAGCAGCAATGTACATGTACTATATTCTCTAGAGGAGTAAAGTAAATGCGTAGGACAATATCCTTTTTCTCTCTTCCTCCCACATCCCAGGAAATAAAACAACTGGAAAAATGCTGGGTACAGCATAACCCCAGTTTGATTTTAAGGTGGCAGAAACAAATGCACTTTAAAATTTAGCTAGTGGAAACAAAAATAAAATAAAATATAGAACCGCCCCTGTTCTTTACATCATATCCCATCTCTCTCCATCGTTTAAAGCAGCATGTCCATCAAGTGGACTTAAGGGAACAAACAGACTGTTCAATAAATATCAATAAGGGTTACTGTAAGGTAAGCTATACAGAGTTACTCCTAGTCCATAGGTATGGAATCCCCAGGAAGCCATATATTATATATGGAAGTCTTTCAAAACATGGTCTGCATCTTCAATAGCCCAGAGTGGTCATGTTCTTAATAAATAGTTCAAGGGTGTTGACATCTTGGTACCCAGCTCAACAGACATCTCTTTTTAGAAAATTGCTAAGGCTGATTTGGCAAAGTCTTCATAGACCTCAATTTATTTTGTTGCTTTTTCTTCATTGGTTCAGAACTTCCTTCAAAAGCTTAGTTTGGTGTTTGGGTCTGAAAGCTGGCATCTTTAGCTTATGTCTCCTTAAACACACTCACACAGACAATGCCAGCTGGTCGGTCAGTCAGTCAATCCTCTCAACTTTTCCAAGAATTCTTCCTTCGTACATTGGCAGAATGGCATCCTCATCCCAGATTTCTTCAAAGACTGCACCACAGTCAAACTCATCACTTGCCTTTTTGAAGTAATACCTAGAATAAAGAAGATTGACAGATAGGAAATAAATGAACAGCACTTTGGAAATACTATTTTTAAAAATTGCTACAACACACACAGCCAACATTCCATTGTGGAATTTTTGATATGCACTTGTAGGAAAAACCCTTTTCCCATTCCCACCCAAGCTCTTCCTATATTTCTATGTGTAATTATGGGTAGACTGAGACAAAGATCAAACTAAGCTTCTGACTAGTTTAGCATCTCACTTGTTCATTGCTATCCAGCCAGATGCTTCTAACACCCTGCAGCCAAGGTTTCAAGAAAAGACTCTCTCTCTCTCGCTCTCGCTCTCTCTCTCTCTCTCTGTGTGTGTGTGTGTGTGTGTGTGGGAGGCCCTGCGAATGCAAGCACGAGTGCAACCGTTATTCAGTGGCATATTGTCTCTAAGTGTGGATACTGCCTTTGATTAATCTCTTCTCCATGACTTTGTGCTCCTTTTAAAGCCTTCTGAGTCTGTGGCCATGACCACATTTGGTGCTCAGGCTAGCTCCTGTCTCTCAGAGAGATTGTGGGGCGCTAACTTGCTGCCTGCTTGCGGCACATCAAAGCAACCTAATAGTTACACTATATCTTATCATGGCATCACCTCAGTCAACACTTTCGTCTTCTAGATGGGTAAGTGACAGAGGCAGATGACATGGGACGTACATCCTCGCTATCACAGAGATGCTACCGAAAGCAGCCAACATACGTCTGGCGAGTGTCCCCAGTTGCGATGTGGTGCGGCAGCAGAGCCAGGGCTCCTGACTCAGACTGGCACTTTCTGATTACGAGGGACACGACTTCCTCTGCCACCCCCCACAGAATGCCACGCTCCCTCCAAGCTTAACCGCAGTCCTCACAGAAACTGTGGGGAAGGCCTTAATCTTTCCATTCATAATATGGTGCTCTAATATAGTGCAAAGTCATTTAGAGTGGTTTATTTTCGAATGAACAATTAAGCTTTACAAAAGGTCTGCTCCTCGTGAAGATAAAACTGATCTGTTCACCTGTTTCAACACAACTGCCTGCACCTTTGGACTGTTCTTGGGGGTGTTGCCCCCCGACACCTGCACTGCACATAGTTTAGGAGCAAACAGACTGTAGTAGAGGCAGGGAAAAGGAGCATGGCAGGCCTCCTTCATGGTCCCAGAGAGAAGAATGCTAGCAAAAATGGCGAGAGAGTCTGGCTAGACCTCTGCATTGCCAGTGAGCCCAAGATGGGTAGATGCTAAGAGGACAGAGATACAATTCAGAATTCTGCCTTACTGCCTTGTCACAAGATAAACATCTTTTGGACTGGAAAGCACGACCGAGTTCACGCCCCGAGGGAAGCTGCTGAGGCAGCCTTAAACAAGTGTTATCCTCCAGTCAGGTCTAGAGCACCCTACCCTTTTCAGCCCCAGAGCTTGGCAATGAACAATTTAATAGAGGGTACATTTAAATAAACAGAAGGAAGGCAGGATTTGGAACTGAGTGCTGGAAGGTCTATGCCCAACTCAGGGTGGACCTAAGTGTCTTCTGGAAATGTAAGCACATTTTGTAACCACAAGCAGATTACAGCAGCCCCAGTGACTCTCAAAAGAACCAGAAAATGTCTGGATTTTCCCCATATCAATGCTTGCAATCTTGTCTTTAGCAATTGTGAGACCAGCACTACTGATTTCATCTGACCACATGTATTCAGTAGAAATCAATCCCCATGAGAACAGGCCCAACAGCAGTGAAACACCCCCAGAGCTCAAAAAGTGTGGCCCTCAAGCCTTTGACTGCCACTATCTCATCTAGATAGACAGATGGAAGGTAAGCCAGTTGAACAGTGGCTAAGGAGAAAGCCCTTGGAAAAACAAAAGCAAGCAAGCTGCTCGAATGTACTACTAAATTAAAAATACGTGAGGGGCACCTCTGGGACACTTATTTAAACCATTCATAGATATTGGCAGCGGTAGCATGGAGCCATCCCTAGCCAAGCATCTGATTTCAGGAAATAAAAATGCCAAACAAATCCCATCACTGCTTATCTAGCCTAATGGCTGAACTTTGCAGCACCACTTGTACAATTTAGAAACTTTGATTAAAGTGACTTTCAAGGTTGATGACAAAGAGAAAGAGGAAGTTACACATTGTAAAATTGGGAATATTTCAGTGTTGTTGATAAAAGCTCTAAACTTCTGACACTTTCCAAACAAACATCAGAACAGAACATCCCCTTAAAAATTACAAGAACGGCTGTATTCATTGTCAGATATTTCTTAGTGGCCTTTACATAGTGAGCAATCTTGGCTTAGATTGCAATATTTGACACAGAAAGGTCAAGCAGCAGCGTCCCGCTTTCCTTTCTTTGGCCTGAGATTGTTAGATCACGAAGCCAATGCTCATGCAGACAAAAAGCGCCCCTTCCCCTCTTGTGTCAAACAGTAAGGACCCCTCTATTATCCTGAATTAGACCGTTCAGCTTCTTGATTAAAGGTTCCTTTTATCCCCCTTCCAGCATTCTTCCTTCTCAGGCTGCTTAATTGCATATGCACAAAATGAAGGCCTTCCATTCAGAGGGTTAGCATTTAGGGAGCCTGCCTGTCTACCACCACACACGCACACTTGCCCCTCCTTGCACCCAGGCAGATTTCTCACCCTCTCCAGGAAGCCCTTCTGCCATCTCATCACCAGCAAGAAAATAATCTTATCTGATAGGTATGGGGAGGGGGGCATGCTAATAAAACACCTCTCCCAAGTTTTTACCCCCCCCCCAGACAAGTTACATATAATATAGTCAAAAGAAGGGTAAGCAGAATAAAAAGTGACTGTGTGTTCCATCTGCATCTGAAAAAGGACACCACCCTGCCAACATCGCCCTTCTTTGGATTTTGTATTACTTTGGCTAAGAAGCTACTGAGGTACCACTTTGCTTTGATATTTAAGAACTTGGAATATACTAACAAGAAGTTTTATTTAACTGACTTTGATTAAGGAGATAACAAGAGGACTCTTTTAATCAAGTTAGAAAGGGAAAACTGTTTAGTCATAGTATCTTTTGGTCACTTCCTGATGAACCCATGAACATAACAAAATCCATTTACTTCAGTGAGGCCAAGATTCTCCAACCAAAGTACAATGAAACTTCCTTCTAGAATCCTTCCAGCCAGAAGGCTGGGGTGGAGGGAAGAGAGGAAACACTCCGAAAGAGGCACAAAAGGACTTTCGCTCAGTTTTATCTCCTCCTTTCCAAGAGGATAAACAGCTGTAGCAATAACTTCCCCCTTGATCTTAAACTCTGGCAGCACTGAAAACATTCTTTGTTTGAATGCTACATTTTATTTTCTTGGGGGGGGGGGGAACTCCACATACTGTGACCTTTTCCATAACTACAACCTTATTTCTCACAGAGAAGTGCAAAAAAGGAAAAGGGGGTGGGAGAGAATGCAAACTAATATCTTTCCCCACAACCTCTTAAAACACATCAGGAGGTCCTTATTTGTGCATAGACATGAGTTCTCCACTGAAACACATTTTTAATGTGGCAAGTTTTGCTTGCTCCCCCCATCTGCCTTCCCCCTTCCCTTCTTCTACATCTGGCACCCATACAGTCTTTAAGGCTTCTTTTTCCTTGCTTTTTCTAACTATTACTATTTTACTCCAGTGTGTGTGTGTGTGTGTGTGTGTGTGTGTGTGTGTGTGTGTGTGTGTGTGAGAGAGAGAGAGAGAGAGAGAGAGAGAGAGAACACACATGCAAAACAAGATCAGAGTATACACACATGAACTATATTTTTAAAGACAGATTATCCTAAATTCATGCTGAATAGCACTCTTTAACTAAGAGCATCCAACAGAAACCTGAGGTGCTTATGTTGCAAACTGACTCATTCAATAAAGAATTTTGAGTGTCAACCATTTATGTATGTCTTTGTGTGTTAAAATGAAAGGCAAAGGCTTCAAAGACACGCTTATTAAGTGAACCTTAAAACAAAATCAATGCCAGATGTGACCAGAGTGACCAGCCGGTCCTTCCCTAAGCAGTCCCTGCTACTCTGGGCAGTATGGCCCTCTTCCCTGAAGGTCACCTACAGTTTCACTGTAAGTCCAGCCAAAAAACAAAAAACACCCAAAGCTGAGATCAAAATGATTCCCCGGGGGAGCAACACATTTGGATAATTGGTTTCACCTTGTATTTGTACAATGTTAAACAAAAACCCAAAACCACCAGGCTTGGCCCTTTGCTCCTTTTTGTACACACATTTGAAAACCCAAAAAAAGAGAATTAGAAATCCATCATTATCTGTCACTTTAATTTTATCTAATAATTACTATATACCATGGCCCAAGCAGCAACAGCTGGAAATTCCTTAAAAGCACAGGAATTATAATGTGATGGTTGCTCTTTGGTGTCATCCTGAGATTTTTGCAGATGTCATCTGAAAGATGCCCTCCCAGGTTCCTACCCTGAATCTCTATCATGACCATCATAATGTACACCAGATAAATATGTGCTGCTAGTGTCAAACATGGTAAGTGCACACCACTGAGCTTGTGGGTTTGTATCGGCTACTGGTCTTAAAATCCACATCTCCATCCCATTGACAGATACATGACGGACAAATGGAAAGGGAAGGTTCCCCTTAATGCATGACCTTGCAGGTTTTTGTGATGGCAGACCACCAGAAGACAATTGGGAACAGAGACTATAGGGCCAGCATCGAGGGTAGGCTGAGGGTCCACAGTCCCAGCAGGGTCAAAGTAACCAGAACACCCTGGAATTGCTCCTTCTCTTCACCATTGCCACCTGCTTGGTCACCTGCCTTCTTGAAAAGGAGAAACAGTAGCAGCCTCTGCCTACTTCATGTGTGGTAAACCTCAGGACTATAGGTCAGTTAGAGTGCCTGGTGTTGAAGGAGAAGCTGGGTATAGCAGGTATTGCGGTCATTTGGTAGAATGGAGAGACTCAACTGGGTATGGCCATCTCTGCATAAAAACTGTATAGGGAGGCCAAGGAAGGGCG